ACACACACACACACACACACACACACACACACACTCACGGTCAGACATTCTCATTCTTTATCAATACCTCACCAACATTAATTTGTATTTCATAAAGTCGAACGCCCTTTAGTGCCAAAAAACAGTGGCGCTATAATATGGAACGAATTCTCATAGTCTACGGAATTTACCAGGAGGCGGTTCCATTCCAAAAGAATCTTAGTTTGATGTTTTATCTGGTATTTATGTACAAAAGTTATAATCCCCCTGTTATTCCCACAATTTGCCCAGACTCAGATCATCTTGGTTTCTTCAGGAGTTTAATTGATACCGGCGATGGGGAAATTCTTCTCTATAAATAATAATAATATATTATGCTATAGCCGAAATCTGCTCAAACAGGCGGAGCAGGATTTACGTAAGTCAGGCTTTAGTGCCTCACGACTATAATTGCAAATGTACTTTTTCTCTTTAATTAAAAAGTCATATTTTTTAAGCACAAAAAACTATCGCGGCTAACAATGTGCATTCACTACATGATGCTATTCTCGATCCCTTGCACAATCAATACTTAGTACAATGTGTAACAAAGATCCGAGTGTAGAGAATCTTTGCTTTGTGTAGTCGGATTTAGAAAAATCCTGGCACAAAACTCTTAGGCCAAAATGGCTGATGTTGTGAAGCCTGATTCATGTGTTGTGCTTGTCTTGCAAAGTTTTCTTCTGTATTCTCACGCTTTCTGAACATGATGTTAGAAGTATCGACTGCATGGAACCAAGGAATAATTATATTATAGCTATAATGCATTGTATAGCCTATAACGAATGGTATTCATTTGTTCATAAAACTTCTTCTGGACGAGAATCAACAATATTTCTTGGTTCGGCCTAGCCTGAGAGCTGCTAATATTTACATTGCCAGGTGAGCGTGCGTTCATTCTGTTTTACACTTTTTGTAAGCAACTCACTGGCTTTGGTCACAAGGGGAAGCATAGCGAACTTTCACTATAGACTAAAGTAATACAATTCGCTATAATAATATTGTCACAATTCTAAAGTAAAAGAACCCCTTTATTACAGACAAACACACACACACACACACACACTCTCTCTCTCTCTCTCTCTCTCTCTCTCTCTCTCTCTCTCTCTCTCTCTTTCACTTTCTTCACTTGCACAGAGGCCTATTATGTAACATAAACCTTACACTTTTTTGGGACAGACTGTGCGGATGCCTGTTTTGTTTTATTAGGCCTATTATTGAATTTTGAATGAAAATTTATAACATTTTTAAAAATCAGACTTGAAGCTAGCATCTTAGGCGTCTTAGGTCTTAGACATCTTAGATTTCCCGCTTAATTTGTATTAATTTTTGTTTGAACTGGCGCTAACTTTTTTTCTTTTTCTCTTAGCAACCCTCTGCCTCTAGATAGACTAACTAGATCTATATAATATATCGAGCGCCTATTTTGTCTCCTTTTTTTGGGGTTGTTGTTGAACATGGGGGGGGGGTCTTCACTTTCAAAGCCACTGAGAGCATTGTACTGTGTAACTGTTGGCATTTTTTCATTGCTTAGTTGAGTCAGACAGCAAATTTATAGTTTTGAGTGTAAATTTCGAGACTAGGAATAATAATTATTGTTGTAGCGGATTTTGCTGGTACATCATGTACCTAATTTAAAACATAAAAGTATTCCTTATTTTAAGCTTTAAATCCAATAATATGCCTATTGTTAAAGTTGCCTGTGAAAATTTTATTAGCCTAGATTTTGTTTAGGTGAAGCAGAAGCAAATGTTAGTTACTTTTGAATTCATCTTTCCAATTAAAATTTTATTCCATTCCTCTCCATCTAGTGAACTTTTCATGACACACATTTGGGCGATGCCACAAAATTTTAGTGGGAATGATTTTTAACTGTATCACACTCTGACATGAAGATCAGTTTTGTCAATCTTTGATGTGGGCTACATTTGTGAGGTCTGCTGACAAAGTGAGTTACTTTTCTCACAAACAGCAAATGGAGCTATTGGCTGAAAATCAAGACAAGGGTCAAATTTGTAGATCTTTAATTTAAAAGTAATGCTATACTCTTCAACTTAAAGTTTAGCATGTCTTTTATCATTTACTAACCTATAAATTTGACATATCTTTCCAAAAGGGAAAATCCAAGAAGTTTAAACTCATTTTGTCAGCGCTCCCCACATTTATTAGTAGGCTAATCTTTACCTTGATCACAAATGAGTCTTTACTTTCCTTTCTAACAAAATTACCATCATTGCTAAGATGAGTAATTTTATAGTGCCATCATCTACTCTAACAGTTATGTTGAGAATAAACTATGTTGGCCTGTTTATTGACAAAGATCAGCCTTGTTTTTAGTCTGTATTTTGGTGTACATATACTATCATGTATATATAGGAGATTTATAAAATATATATGTTCCACGCAATTTACTGAAGATTGCGCTGCAACGTTTTAGTGATCGTATATAACTGCGCAGCCATCTTGATTGCGCTGTGCGTTTTAACGATCGTTAAAGCAGCGCAATCTTACGCTGCTGCACGTTTTAATGATGGTAGCCTATATAATTGCGCGGCAATCTGAAGATTGCGTTAATATTTTATATATTTTTTTAATACAATTTTTAAAAGTACACTTCCATCTTTATTCTTTTACTCACATCAAGGAGCGTTCACATACATTTCCAAAAGTGTAATAATATGAAAATGGAAATTAACATAATATATAAAACTGAAGAGCTCACAAGGAGGATACAATGCCAGGTATCAAACTCAAAGTTCACAAAGTACATTTGATTTATTTTATATTTTTGAAATAGCAGGCCCTAATTTTCTTTTTAATTCACTTCTGTCTTTATCTATTCTTTTACTCACATCAAGGAACATTCACATATATTTTCAAAAGTATAAAAATGAGAAAATTGAAATTAAAATTCAGTTTAATATGTTAATTTTAATTTTCACATTTTTTCTATTTGAATGTTCCTTGATACGAGTAAAAAAATTAATAAAAATGGATGTGAATTTTTTTTAAAAGTTATTTCTAAGTATAAAATAAATTAACTGTACTTTGTGAACTTTGAGTTTGATACCTGGCATTGTATCATTCTTGTAAGCTTTTCAGTTTTATATTATTTTTTTATTATGTTAATTATGACCTTAATTTTTATTGATAATTTTCATATTTTTACACTTTTAAAGATGTATGTGAATGTTCCTTGATGTGACTAAAAGAATAAAGATGGAAGTAGTGGGTTTTTTTGTTTTTTGTTTTGGTTATTTTAAAAATATAAAATATCGCAATTTTCAGATTGCCGCGCAATTAGATCTACTATAGATACATCTTTGTATGTATGTATGTAGTATAGGGTTTTACGGCGCTCGCAACTGCTAAGGTCATATGAGCGCGCGAAACACAAGTTGTTTACTTTCGCAAAAGTTCACTCCACGACTGGTCAACTAATTGACTTTAAAATGCTAAAATGTTAAAATATTAAAATTTAGTGTAAATATATTTGTGATTTAAAACAACTCTTATAGGTAACAATAAAAATTTAAATAGTATGTTTTCATTTTTCATTTTACAACTTGCCATAAAGGCCAATGGCCTTTATAAAATTCAAAATTCTGCTGGGAACAACGACAGAAAAAATATCTTGCAATTTCTTGCATTTAAAAAAACTTCCTTCGGATCTCTCCAAAGTCTAGACATTCTGTTAAGATGTGTCTAATGGTAAAATCTGTGTCGCATCCGACACAGAACGGCTTCTCATCTCCCGAGGTTTTACGGTGCTCGCAACTTCATAAGGTCATTTGAGCACCTAGGGGTGGATGTCAACAGAGAAGTCCTTACAGGGAATCAGGCTTACTCTGCTAACCTCTCTAACTTCAACAGCACAAAGTCTGCTTCGACTATCAAAGCTCCCCGGAAATAGCGGGTCACAAGAGTGTGACAAACATACTACAGAAGTAGAGGAAAAATGACGATAGTAAGGATTAGGAAAGAAAAAGCAGCAGTTCCCTGTTGCAGTTTAGGAACAGTTATGAGCATGGCATTGATGAATCAGCCCATTTACAAATTTACAATTCTACTGTGCATAAGAACATAGTTAATGTCCCCCCTTTGGGAAAGGGCTAAAGACACTTCAGTCAGTAGTACTTCCCCAGGGGGTGATTCACCCCCGGGATACTTATGTGTGTATTGGGTTTTTTAATGGGGGAAGCTATATCTATATTTATTGTTTAAGACTGTGTTCTTGAAATGTCAGATTTGTGACCTTATGTTTTTTTGTGTTACTACAATTCTCTTAAATTTCAAATTTCAGAATGGACCCCCTTCAGGATTCCATGAGAGACCAGCCCAACCCTGGAACCACAGAGTTATCCATCAGTCAAATTCTCTCTGAGTTCAAATCAACTCTCTCGAGGAGGAATACCAACTGCAAAGGAAAACTCACCATTACTCTAGGTGAAACTTCAGGAGTTGATATAAAATTTCAGCCACATCAGACAGGAACATTGGGCACTCAAAGTTATCTACCACCTACCAATTCTTCAGAAAATCAAAGAGCGTATGAACAAAGATTCTTAGTGCCCCAGACAACTCTTAGAAGCTCGTTGTGTCCACAGCAGAATTACATCCCGACTGTAGCTGATCACAGTGCATCTAGAGAAGATTCCACGGCTGGATGGTTGTCAAAGAACATTCCTGTCTCTCTGTTGTCAGACTCGCATGTTGATAACCCAGCAGGACCAGCAGTTGTATACAATCATCCTCCAGCAATGGGATTCACCACTTCAAACATTCATAGTTCCCAAGAATTAACTTCTGTCTCTTCAGGTATACAACTAAAAAGTTTAGAAAATGCATGTCTTCCGAGCATATCATCATCTCATATAGGACACTTCCCAACAAGCTTACCCACGTCAGCTCTGACTAGCCTTCCGCCTTTCGAGAAGATCATTGAACAACGGTTTCCTCTTCTGATGAGCAATTACTCTCAGCCTGAAAGTATGACATCGTTTCAAGACATCACTTCTACTTTTTTATTTAACAACCCTCCTCAACTGACAACGTCACCAACTGGCCCAAAAATTTTGGAGGACTCAGCACAGTATCAGCACGTTCTTGATGATAATAACCATGCTCTTGGTGACAATCAAAGGATGGAGAATCTATTGAATGAGCAGACAACTTCCCTCTCTATGGAGCACCTACCACCTTCTTGTACTAGACAACAAAATGTGAATGATGTGCCAAAGCTAGCTAGGCAGCATATGGTTGAGAGAAATTTTGTTGTTGATTTCCCTACCCATCCTAAGGAAAGTGGAGAGGACTCTGTCCGAATTTCTACTTCACAAGAACACCCTGCTTTATCAAAAGGGCCTATACCGGAGAAAGTTTTGTGTCCTTCCAGTGAAAGTGAGAAAAAGTCTCCATCCGAGCAATCCTGTCAGAGAAATATTACAGTGGAAGACTTGAAAAGTGGAAAAGTATCGACGGAGGATTTGAGGAGCATGTCCCATGATGAATTAATTGCTTTGTTGGTACTAGTAATGGACTTTTTTAATTCATCAGGAGAATCCACCCTGAAAAAGTCAAAGGAATGCGAGTCTAAAAGCAGAAAAGTACCAGGTGAGTGAAATAATATAAGGCTCGTGAGTTTTGCTTTAGAATATAAAAGCTAGATTATAAATTCTGAACGGTTATTAACAAAGAATCTTAATTTAGACTATGGCTTCCCTACTTTTCCTTTTTCGTAAGTCATAATACAAGAGGATCAATGTGGGATGATAAAGCTTTATTTATATATAATGATAATTTTGATGGCTCTGTCAGTTAATTCTGAACAAAAATCTCAGTTCTTCATCTCGATGAAACGGTTTGTTAAAGTTGTAAAATCTATATGCAGCACTCTATTAGCCAGTTGAGTATCACACAAAGACAAAAGAAAAAAAAATGTCTTTTCCCTTTACATTTGAAGAAGTAGGCTTGAATATATGATTTTTGTTCCAGCTTTTTTGTTTTAGTCTCATGGCACTTGCAACACAGTTAGGTCGTACTAGTGCCAAGGATTAGAGGTGTTGCGTGACAGTAACATACTACATCTAAGAAAAGAAGGAGAGAAAGGGCGATAAATGTTCCATCTAAGAAAGGAAGGAGCAAACAACACTAGAGCACTTGCCAATCACCTACCCCTTTTTTTTCTTTTTTAAAAAGAAAATGCATCAACCCAATTTAGATCATTAAAGAGGCGGGCTTCCAACAATGTCTGAAGGCCAACCCAGGCTGAGAGGGATACAACATCCTAGCAGAAAGACTGAGATACTCTATAAAAATTTTCCCCGCTCAGGAATCAAAATCCGAGGTCCCACATGTGAAATGCAAAGTGCCTTATAACGCTACTTCAAAGATACCAATACCAGTGTCTGCCTTCTTAAGTGCCACACAGTTAAATTTTTATCTAATTAGTACCACTGGTTTCTTATAATATGTCCAGTCAGTTCTTGTTTTAATTTTCTCTCATGAGCTCTTGGCTTCACTTCATTCATACTATCCAAATGATTGTTGTTTGGCTGCCATTCCAGACTAAATATATAAGTTGAGGTTTTTTTGCCATAGCAAAATGGCCTTTCTTTGATTACTAAGCCTGAGTCAGTGTATGAACACCCTCTTTGAAGAAAGAGAGGTTTCTTTTCATGAATGTTTAGCTACCAAACTACTACCATCAAATTTCATTTAAAAGCACTTGGGTCATATCATTTGTCATCATGGGCCTGGCTGCGAAGAGACTTTTATACAAAATCTTTGAATAGCATATATAGTGTTCAGCAAAGAGCCCAAATGCCACTACAAGAAAATTCTTTTTCATCTCTGGTGCAAAAGTTCACATTTAATTATTTTTTTAAAAATATATTTTGTTTGTGTGACTTTATGAGTGTGGGGATTTTTTTCATAGCACAAGACAAATTTCTGAACATTTTACTGCAAGTAAAACATGATATCGTCTTCAGCCTGTTTTAGACAATATGATCACTCCATAGCCTATTTTATTAGCATTTTGTTTCTTTGCAGAAAACTTATTACATTTCTCTTGTTCCCTTTCACTGTCAACAGAACCCCTGAAGAATGACAGTGACTCTGTGAGCAAAGAAGCAGCACAGGTCCACGAGGAGCAATCTGCTGCTGTTAAAGCAAATATTGATTCCCCTGCTGCTGCAACAAGACCGAAACGTAAGACTTACAAGCCCCTCAGGACTGATCAGGATGAGATGACAGAAATTGATAGTGGAAAAGGGAAGTTTTCATTTTCAGTTGATGGCGGTTTGGTACCACCACTTGCACCACAAGAAGATGACAAAATGCTCAGAGGAAATCGCAGAGTTAAGAAGAAGGCTTTCAATGCCCCAGAGAAGAACTCGAAATCTGAAGATATTGACACTCCTACACAACCTTTAAAAAAGAGAAACAGACTTCGTGCAATAATTAAAAATGATGACGCTGATCAAGTGATTAGTTTTGAGGAAAAAACAAACTCTAATGAAATTATTGATCAAGAGACCAGCAATATTGAAATGGAGGCTGGGAATGTAACTGCTAATTCTAGAACTTTCAAGAAAGTAGCACGAAAGAGTTCTGAAAGGAAGGAGAAATGTTTTACATGCAAAGAATGTTTTAAAAGTTTTTCAAGCAAACTCTTATATAGACAACATGTTAGAACCCACTCCACAGGGTATCAGTGTGACGTATGTGGGAAGACTTTGAAGACCAAAGACTCTTTGTATCATCATCACCGGGGCTTGCATAGTAAAGACAAGCCATACCAGTGCCGAGAGTGCAATGCGTCTTTCAGTTTTCACCACAGTTATAAACTGCATCTTCAGAGACATAAAGGAGAACGACCTCATAAATGTGGTATTTGCCATAAAACTTACCTCACATCAAACCATTTGAAGGTGCACACAGAAGCAGCCCACGGTATAGGGAGTAAAGTTTGCAAAATATGTGGTAAAACATTTTCCTATAGCAGCAGCCTCAGATTACATCTTTACTCACACTCTGAGAACAAACCCCATAGATGTGATAAGTGTGGCAAAAGTTTTAGTACAAAGCAATCTTTACGAGCCCATTTGTTGACTCATGAAGAAAGTAAAAATTTCCCATGCAATATATGTGGGAAATTTTATAAATCGGAGCACTCAAGAAGTATTCACTGTGAAAGGCATAAAAATCGAATAAAGAAATTTATGTGTGATATTTGTGGAAAGGTGTTTCTCTTTAAAAGTACTTTGAAAGCTCACACTGCCACTCATAGCAAAGCAAGACCTCATGAATGTCAAATTTGTGGAAAGTCCTTTAAGTCAAAAGCATCCCTATATACTCACAAATACGTCCATAAGGATACTTATCCATTTCTGTGTGGTATATGTGGTAAATCATTCAAGTCAAAGAACTGTTGTGCAGCTCATATGAAACGACACGAAAATAATGAAAAACATGTTTGCCAAACTTGTGGTAGTTCGTTCCCAGACAAAGGAGGGCTCACAAAGCATATGAAAACTGTTCATTTACCAAAGAAACACTTTACTTGTACCATATGTGGGAAAAAAGGAACAAGAGCAGATAATATGAGGACTCATGTGAAAAGCCACCGAGCAGAAATCAGTGGAAATCCTAACCCAATGGATTTTATTCTGGAAGAGTCTGTAAATGATATGACTAGCAGTCAAGCACAAGTTATCATAGTGCGCCCAAGGGTACGAACTTCTGGACTTAAAAATAATCGTAAGCTTTATCCAAAGGAAAAAGAAGAAGATAAAGATAAAGCTGCACTTGTTTCTGAAAATGACCCCAAGGAAAGGCCATCAGTCTCTAAAGGTGCTGCTTGTGTGAAGAATGAACACCACTTAACAGAAAATTTGCAACCAAATATTTTGGTAGCCCCTCCCACAGATCCGCAACAGTTTCCTCAGCAGACATACATGTTGTCTCATAACCCCAGCTATCCACAGCATGCACAGAGCACCCATCTTTCAGAAATGACTCAACAGTTCCAGCCAGCCCTTACCCACCAGCCTCAACATCATGTGGGCCATGACAAAGTGCCGTCATACCTGACGTATCTTTACCATCACGATATGGCATCTGACGGTCACAGCAGCGGTAACACCCCTTTGGGCCCACCAATGTCGAGTCTACTGTCAGCAATGACACCATTGCCAGAGAATGATGTCACAGGAACTACTCAAATCTCAGTGTCAGGATACAACAGCAACACTATCCATTCTTTCCATGCTTCACTTTCAGATGGGCACAGTCAGGCTGGTCCTAGAGTACTCGGCTCTTTGTACACAGACAACATGCCTATGTCTAGTGGTTTGCCTCACCTTCACCAAGCTGTCAATCAATCAGGCCCCATGCACGACTCCATTCTTCTAGAACATGAGCCAACAATGGCTCAGCTAACAGATGCAAAGAACTCTGTTGTTTTTCATGGTGGCTCCTCAACACACGGAATTGTTGAGAGTGGTCACTGAGTAGTGAATTATGTTATTACAGTGCACATGGTGTTCAACTTACATGTATTACATGCTTAGTTTGTGGGATGAGATGAAAGTGGTGAGAATACAGAGAGAGAGAAAATTTTAGGTGAGCTTATGTGCTTATTATTTTTATGTGTGGACATTATGTCATCAAGATAGTATCAATGTAGGCCTACCAGCTAATCCTTTGTGATAGAGTTACCAAATTAATTATCATGATCAAGTATGGTCTGTTTATTATTAGTCAGGGATCAAATTTGTAGTTTTTATACTTTGATACATTTTTATAGGTATTATTAAAGTAGGCCTATCGAGATCCAAACTTTGCATTCCACGAAAACTTTCTCTTAAGATGAAGCTGTACTAGTCAAAAGATTGTAGAAAAACTACAGTTAAACATAATAATAATACATGTATTTTTATATAATCCCTGCTTTTTTATCTTTTGTGAATTCACAATGATTTGAGTCATAAGTCCAGTGATATTGTTATGGTGACCAAGATGTTTCCTATTCTGCTGCAAATACTTGACTGTTCCAAGCAGTATACAATGAACCGGAACCCGCTTAAACCAAAGCAGTGGCAAATCTAAAGATCTTAAGAAAGTAGAATCCCCAATTTTTTTTCCCTGTTGTTTTCGCAATCATTCGAAACTTAAAGCATGGCTCAACTTTTAAAAATCAGTGAGTCCTGCAGATTTCGATTAAGACACCACCATACTTTTGAACATTAGTGAGAGGATTCTTTTCTGAGTTTTGTGGCTCACACTGTGCTTCTATTCTTTTGAAACTAATGAAGCTGCACCACCTTGGCTTGGTTGACTATGCTTTAAGGTTAAATCAAGTGGCACACAAACAAGAATGCTTTGTTGACCATTGACATATATTTGTGCTCCACCTGTTTTGCAGTGCTCACCCCTTTTCCTGTCTTCCACCTCAGGCTGTCTTTGTTTTCCCGTAATCACTTTGAATACAACCTGTGAGATGGCTATACATGTATTCTGTGAATGCACTTTCTACCCATCCCTCTCTTTTGGAACAACTTTTGTTAGTGTTGAAATGTTGCAACTTGCACACTTGGAATTGGAACCCAATATATGAATTGAATTATTATTATTATTATTATTATTACTATTATTATTATTATTATTATTATTATTATTATTATTATTATTATATTGTAGTTCGAGTAACATTTTTACAGATGGTTTGGGGGGGGGGGGGTGGCTTCTCTTTTGCATTTAAGTCTATTGACTATCAGTATTTTTTTTTTATGTCTCTGTTTAGTGTATAGCATTTATAGCTGTACCACATGACAAGTGAATATTTGTTTGTGTGTGTGTGTGTGTGTGTGAGAGAGAGAGAAAGAGTGAGAGAGAGAAAGAGAGAGAGTTAATTTGCCCTTGTATTAAAATGAAATTATGACTTCATTTTTGTAGATTCACTCTTTGTACATTGTTCTTGTACTTTTTGTACATGTACATGATGATGTTTTGTACTATTATATATAATATGAATATCTATGCATCACGGAAAATACAGTATTATTTATTTAGAATTATGTATTGTAATCCTTTTGTTTTGACTTGGATTTGATTCACACTTAATGGCACTGATACATGACATAAATTACCTAATGTCTTATGTTAGTAGCTTGAAAATGTTCTTACCACCAGCAGGCCTTCCACTTTTCAAGATATTTTGTCTTATAACCGTATCTTGTATCTTACTGTGACCGAAAAGACAATCCTGACCAGCAGGACTGTACACTATATAATTTACAGGGGGGAGTGTTTGTTTTTGTTGGGGTTTTGGGTTTTTTTTGGTCTCGTGTCCTGATTTTGGTGCCTATATTTAATTTGTAGGTTACGTAAAAATGTATTGACATGCTGCAAATTATTATGTTTCAAGGAAAAGAACAACAAGAAAAACACACCAAAAAAAAAGGTGAATTGTTTAGTTGGTGATGATGATGATAATGATGGTGATATGATGATGATGATGATGATCAGGATGATGATGATGATGATGATGATGATAATGCTCTAATGTTGGAAATAATGTGCATGTTAGTCGTAGTGTTACTGTATTTCATTTTTATTTACTTTTTTTGCGCTTACTCTGGATCCCTGCCAGGCTGTCCTTGGGGGACAGGACACCATCCTCATTCCCAACTCTCGCATAGAGTGACCAGGAATTTAGAAAATCTTTCGATACCGTATCCTACAGTTTGTCGACCAATGAACTGTACGTGTAAATGGGGCTTTACACGTAGGCCTACAGTTTATTGATTTCTTTCGATATGCTACAGTTTGTCGATCATCCTGTCTACTTCCGGGTAAAACTGAGCGTGGAAAAGAGCAATCCTCTAGATATCGAAGGGTTCTCATTCCAGCCACCAGATGTATCTGGCCCGCTGAACTGAAGGCCTGACGACAAGGTAGCGGTTTCTTTGATGTTGCCTCAGGCAGAGTTGAAAATTATGCTTTCCAAAATGTTCCTAAATATTGGTCAAATTTTTAAAAATACATGTAATAAGATTTTCGTGATCAGCGACCCTAGAGTAGATCTTGTCAAAATCACGCTGAGAACACAATTTAATGCCGGATTACCAAGTTACTGCAATTGTTTTTGACACGTTTTGTGTGTTTTGTCTAGGACTGACACGTACTTAAATAATATTTTAAAAACTGAAGGCTACGTCTAAATGGAACTTCTCTCGTCAACAAACTTTCACTTCAACGATGACCCAGATCTAGCGCCTGTTATATTATTATGTGTGTGTGTGTGTGTGTGTGTGAGAGAGAGAGAGAGAGGGGGAGGGGAAGGGAAAGAGAAGGGTAGGCCTATAGATCGATAGATAGGCCTAGAACATAGGCAGATAGATAGATGGATACTAGAGAGAGAGGGGGGGGGGGGAGGGCCAGGGAATAAAGTTACTGGGGATTTTTTTGCAGAAATGCTGGACACCGAGTTGTCTCCAATTCTCAAGGATTCCGAGAAGCAATTATTTCGATTCTAAGTAGCCGACGGTGAACTAACCGTGGTAGAACGTCTACTAACTGCAAGGCTGACTGACTGAGACAACTTTTGACAGAGAACCTGGATACCTAGAGGTGTTATCTCTTGCTCAGAGGTTAGTAGTAGTGAATGACCCACCAATGGCTATGGTTACTATTAGCTGCCGTCATGCATTCTGAGTGTAATAGTTTGTGCGTTTGGCTGCATCTTGTTTTTGCATTTTCTGTTCTTATTTAATATCACGGTTTTTTTCGTTTCTTTCTCTATAGAGGGAAGAAAAATGTTTTAAAAAGACCTCTGGATCTCTGATGCTGGCACGTCACTAAAACCATGGGTACCTGTCAAACATGAAACATCTGCAGACATGAGAACAACTTTTGATTGATTGAAAAATTGAACAGGCTCAAGGAACAAAATCCCTAACCCTAGGCTTTCTCAGAAAGCCTAGCCCTATCCCTAAAACTAAAACCCCTAACTAAACCCCTAACTCCTAAGATCTTCTAACAAACGAAATGACCAACTTGTCAATTAAATGACTTATTACGGATATTACTTCCCTTTAGTCACACAGCGAGGTGTTTGGTTAACTTGTTTTGTGAAAAATGCAAAAAATCGTGAAAACACACGGGGAATCCAAAATTATGCAAATGTTGCGGAATTATGCGAAAAAACGCGGCCGCACAATCGCATAATCCAACGGGGACAGCCTTATACACTTGCGAGCGCCGTAAAACCTCTACTAAAAAAACAAAACTTCTCCTGTAGCTGCCCACTTTTGGCATATATAGATCAAGATTTCTGTCTGAGTTAGCCAGCTTGTCCTTTTATTTAAATGCAACAGTATTAAATTCTTTCCACTCTCCATTCCTGTATGAAACCCGCATCAGTTTTGATGTTGACATTTCTCGTGGCAAAATTGCAGTCCGTCGTTAGCACTCATGAGTGTTCAAACATGCATCACTTAAAATGTTGAAATAATAATTAATTTTATTACATTGTACATGTGTTATTCCTAACTAGTTCTAGTTAACATAAAACAAATACACCCTTTGCTTGCGTAACATGAAACTTCAGAATGTTTCCCAGGTATTACAGCTTATTCGAAGTGGAAAAGGCTAGAATTTGAAAGACAACCTCAATTAAAACAGGGAGTGTAGGTGTGGGTGTGTGTGGGGGGGGATGGAAGTAAGACATTCTACTTAGTGCCCTCCAACCACCCAGGCTCATAAGAAAACAGAACAAACAATAAAGCAAACAGTCTATTTCGGTTGCAGAGAGACTTGTTCAACGTCATCGTCATTCACGAAATTATGCATGGCTTCTCTTTCTTTCTCTCTCTCGCATTTAACACCCTCGATTCAGTTTTGTTCATACCTACTTCTAGGGGCGCTCTTCAATCACTCATGATAAGAAGAGGAATGAACATGAATAATAATACAAACAAATAACTAGTAAGATTCCACACAGTAAATTTATTAAACATATTTTTCTGCTGCCCACACAAAAGGAGCTCTTTACACAGTTCTGACAAGTCCAAAAAGACAGGTAAACTGACATACCTAGTACATAATATCAATGAGAGTTCAGACAACCTTTTTACACCTTCAATCATGCCGCTGTCACTAAAACTTCTCCCTCAGACAAACTAAAAAGTGTTCTGAAGGGTCAACAATAAGCGGTCAGATGTTAGTCATTATATGAGGCCTGAGAGTCAACAACGAGGGGTCGGAGTTAATTAAAGACAGGAATAATTAATAAAGGGTCAACAACATGGGGTCAGACAAACGGTCAATTTCTAAAAGGTCACCAAGCGGGGTCGGAGCGAAGTCAGGACATGAGTCCTGAGGGTAAACAACGTGGGATCGGACTAAAGTTAAATTTATAAATGGTCAATAACGAGGCATCGAGGCTAAGTCAAGACATGAGTCCTGAGGGTCAACAACGTGGGGTCGGACTAAAGGCAGAGTTATAACTTATCAATAACAAGGGGTAGGGGTTAAGTCAAGACATGAATCTTGAGGGTCAACAACGTGGGGTCGGACTTAATGATCAACATTAGGGGTTGGAGGTCAGTCAAGACATGAGTCCTGAGGGTCAACAGCGTGGGGTTGGACAAAAGGCAAAGTTATAAATGGTCAACAACGAGGGATTGGAGCTGAGAGTCATGAGGGTCAACAACGTGGGGTCGGACTAAATGATTAACATTAGGGGTTGGAGGCAAGTCAAGACATGAGTCCTGAGGGTCTACAATGTGGGGTCGGACAAAAGGCAAAGTTATAAACGGTCAACAACGAGGAATTGGGGCTATGTCAAGACATGACTCTTGAGGGTCAACAACATGGGGTCGGACTAAAGGCAAAGTAATAAATTATCAATAATGAGGGGTAGGGGTTAAGTCAAGACATGAGTCTTGAGGGTCAACAACGTGAGGTCGGACTAAAGGCAAAGTTATAAATTATCAATAATGAGGGGTAGGGGTTAAGTCAAGACATGAATTTTGAGGGTCAACAACTTGGGGTGGACTAAAGGTAAAATTCTAAAGGGTCACCCAGAGGGGGGCAGACCAAAGTCAAGACATGAGTCCTGAGGGTCAACAACATGGGTCGGACTAAAAGAAAAAATTATAGATGGTCAACAACTAGGGGTCGGATCTTAGTCAATAGGGTCAACAACATGGGGTTGGATTGAAGGTCAAGTTCTAAAGTGTCACCCAGAGGGGACGGATCGAAATCAAAACATGTGTTCTGAGGGTCAACAGCGTGAAAAAGGACAAAAGGCAAAGTTATATAAACGGTCAGCAACAAGGGGTTGGAGGAAAGTCAAGACATGAGTCCTGAGGGTCAACAACGTGGGGTCGGACTAAAGGCAAAGTTAAAAATTATCAATAATGAGGGGTAGGTGTTAAGTCAAGAAAGAATCTTGAGGGTCAACAACGTGGGGTCAGACTATAGGCAAAGTAATATGGTCAACAACGATGGGTTGGAGCTTAGTCAAGGCATGAATCTTGAAGGTCAACAACGTGGGGTCGGACTTAAAGGTCAAGTTCTAAAGGGTCACCAAGAGGGGACAGATTGAAGTCAAGATATGAGTTCTGAGGGTCAACAACGTGGGGTCGGACAAAAAGGTAAATTGGTAAATTTATAAACGGTC